AATCATTATTACTAATATTGCACATATTTTGAATTTTTATCTTAATTCTAAGTATTAGGATTTTATGCTTATTTTATAAGAAATATTTTTTGAGTAACATATAAAAGAATCCAAATATTTAGTTAAAGTGCAGGTTTTAATGTAATTATTTTCTCATGTTAGACTTATTTGCAAAATGCATTGGAGCACACAGTAATGTTCAGAGTTCCACGGCATACGAAGGCAGGCATTGACTTAGTCTAATTGGGGCCCGGGGCAAAAACTTCTTTAGAGACACTCCTCTGCTCCACAACTTACGTAATGAAGAACCGAACTTTATGGAGATATTTAAAATTTTCACCTCATTATAGATATACAACAAGAAAATTGACTAAACCTAAAATAGCTATAAAAGTCCAATGATCAGACGAAATATCATTTTATTGATTTTCTGAAAGTTACTCAATCATTAAAAGGATATTGAACATCTGAAGAGCCAAAATCTGACAAAAATGCTATTTAAATTTATAATTAGAAAATGTAAAATAAGAGGCCTTTAATTAGCCAAATTTGTCCATCGTAATTGCGAAAATTTAGCTGAATTTCGTCTTAGAAAGCAATGGATTTTCGAAATATAGATTTTTTTGTGTTCATACGATATAGATATTTTTGTGTTCATACGATATAAATTTTTTTGTGTTCATACGATAGATTAATGAAGAAGCTAACACAAAACTGATGGATTTTACACTGTACTGATATTTTGTTTAAGAAACGTTAATTAAAGAAGAAAACGTAAAATAAACTTTCTATTCGATTTGGGGGCACCCTTCTGACGTGGGGGTCCGGGGAAACTGCCCCGTATGCCCCAGGATCTGTACGAAGTATCTTTGTTCACTCGGTTAGAAGAGGTTAAGAAAACGACTTCTTATACTGATTAGTATCTGAGAAGATAAAAATATATAACCTTTCAAAGATGCCCAAACTCAGTTCTAAATAAAACCAAAATCATCTCGAATTACAGTATATTGCTCTGAAGGGAGGACAATCTTTGAATAATCTACTCGATTCTCTGTATCATTATATCATATAAGGATGTCTTAATGCCTTATCATCCTCGCCCCTAAATAAGTCATCTGGGGAAGACTTCCTTCGAGCAATCCGAATCTACTGAAGTGCTATCACCCACTTTTTCGGTTCCGGTGCAGATGTAAAAAAAAATCTAATGTGGACACCACATGACATCTTTGTACAACCTATTAAATTATACACATTTTTGTTGCATTTCATTTAAACTTATTTTATCGAACTTCATCAGAGATATATTTCTCACTCGATTAATTCAGTTCTCACTTCGTCAATTAATTCAGTACAAGTAATTCAATTCTCATTCAATTAATGCAGTTTTCACTGATTAAATTAATTCGGTTCTGTAGCAAGGCAAAAATACAGGGAAATTCAATACATCTTTATTAAAAGTTATAAAATACAGAAAAACATAAAACACCAAATACAGTTAAAGAAAATTACGCAAAAACGAAGCAATTCGGCAAGTGGGCAGTGAGACAGGTTCTTCAGTGCACAAAATTGAAAGTTTACTTTTAGTTCCATTCTGAATAAGACACTGAATTTGATGCACAAACTGACTTAATTCACTACTCTATTAAGAATTTCAAATGTAAACGAATGGCGGCTTCGTTAGGCTTAGTACCACTTAAACAACGTTTAAACTATTGATAGTTCTATAACTGTTGCATGCATATTAACTACAGGCGTAAAACGTTTATCTGGGACATAAAAACAACATAATTCTATCACTTTTAAAGGAAAAGTGCACAATGTACCAACATATAAGAATAAAACAACTGAGCTCACCGAGCCGAGTAACAAAATTTCATTTTTCTGAGACTACTCATTTTTGAGTTATGTGAGATACATATATAAAGTACGTACATACGTTCAGAAGTCACGAAGCAATCTCTTCTGAATCCATATAAATCCATTTTATAATCGGTTTTGGAAAAAGAATCCGTTATTCTGTGCGTACGTATAGATATCACTCAAAAACATCGTTCAAATGAATTCGAGAGCGCTCAAAATAGATATTTTCTTTGAAATATGATACCCGAAATTTTTCGCTATTACAATACTTCCTTTACTTTATATAAGGAAATAAGAGGAATTTTAATTAGATATCACATTCCTAAATTCTCAGTGTGTAAATGTAAATTACAGAGGTATTTATTTGCGTAATTTTTTTAAACTACTCTTTAAATTTCTTATTGTACGCAGAATTAAAGACATTTTAGAACATATTAGCGATTAAATAATAAGAAATAATTTTCAGTAGATATCTTCGATTTAAATTAAAATTTAAAATATTCAAGTGTGCATAACAAAATTTATGTTTGAGTTTCATAAATAATAATAAAAATTTGATGTGTACACCACATGACTTCCTTGTACGGAATATTAAATTATACGCATTTTTTCTTGAATTTCATTTAAACGTATTGGATTGAATTAAATCTACTTCACCGACAGCGCATAAACGACAATAGAATAAATGTATTCTTTAAAATTCACTCTATTCGACATTCTGGCCCTAGGTTCACTTAACAGTATTATATTTCGTTCATATTATAACTCAGAATGCACAAAATTTACAACATTTAAAGAATTATCTAATCGTTGCCACATGTTCTATTCAAATACTATAATAAAGCTAGAACGATGTATAAAAGAAATTAAGCAAACAAAACAAAAAAGAAACAGTTTTTCACAGACGATTGAGTATTTCTCACTCAATTAATTCAGTTCTCTCTTTGCGACAAGGAAAAAATACATAAAAACTCAAAATATCTGTATTAAAAATTACGAAATAAATCTTAAACACTTATTTCCACGAAAAAATTCCAGAAAGGATTAAGCATGATTTAATTCTCAATAATAAATGATGGCGTTATCTTTGTTGTTGCGAAGCTAAGTTTCTCTAGATTGGCAACAAATCCACTATCCTGCTGTTTCAAATGTAAACCAGTAATGGCCGCCATCAAGAAAATTATTAGGCTTAGAGGCACTTAAACAACTTTAAAATTGTTGATGATTCTAAACATATTGCATAGTGATTTACTAAAGGCATAAAAACCTTGACCGAAAGATAAGAACAACATATTTCAATCATTTTTTTAAAGCAAAAAATGTACAATGCAGAAACATATAAGAGTAAAGAAACTGAGATCACCGAGCCGGGTAACAGAGTGGAAATATATATAAATATATTTATATACGTTTGGTGCGGCCGATTGCAACCAAAATACGAGGTGCACATCTACATGTTATAGCAGTTCTATATACAAAATTTCAACGTTCTGAGGCTACTCGTTTTTTAGTTATGCCAGATACGTACGTACACACGTACGTACATACGTTCGTATGTACATACGAACATACGTTCATATGTACATCCGTTCGTACAGACGCCACGAAAAATTCTCTTCAGAATTCATTTTAAAGCAGTTTTATAATTTTTTTGGAGGAAAAGTGTATTTTATTCTGTCTTTACGTACAGATATTACGCAAAAACATCGTTAAACTGCATTCGATAGCTGTCAAAATTGATATTTTCATTGAAATATGCTGCCTGAAACTTTTCGCGATTACAATACTTCCTTTTTACTTAGTATAAGGAAGTAAAGAAGAGATACATTTAACCCTTCTAAGTTGATTACTTACAGATGTAGATGCATTTTGTTTCTACGGTAATCAGTTGATAATTAGAGAGATGATGCCAAAGTTAATATTTAAAAAATAATTCAGGTGATTTTCAGAAAAGCTCGCGTTGGGGATGTGATTTCCACGAGAAAACTCACTGTATATCTGAAAATAATTCTTGTGATGAGAAAATGAGACAATCATTCTCTAGTCGAGTTTTACGTTACGCCTGTACATTGGTTTCACCTTTGAGCAAATAACTTCGCAGGAAGCTTTAATACAGGGGGGAACTTCTAGCAGAATTTGGGCAGTAATTCAGCAACGAAGAGTTTTCATTATAGTTCGCAAATTATGATATCTTTAAAATGTATGTATCACAATTTAATATTAAAATAACATAAAATACAAATAACCCTTTAATAGCGACAATCACCCTAAGGTCACCTAAAACTGACTATTTTTGAAATCCTAAATATCCATCGGCATTGCATGTGACCTTCTTAAGACGATTACCCTTCAGAATAGCCCCAAATCATATGGAAGTGCGAATGGCTAACATAAAGAGATTTCAGTGTATTTTTTTACACTATCAGCATTAAACTTTGAGATTGCATTGTCAAATGGAAAGATTATTCATGTTTAAAATACATCGTATTAGACAGTAGAAATATATTCTTTAGTTGTGATAAAGCATAGTTACAATTTTCTCAACTGTATGTTTTTAGCTGACAACTAAGCATATTATTAAATTATGAAATACAGTAATGCATTATGAAATGTTAAAATTTATTTAAAGTATCTGTTAAATAAAAGACATTCGTAAAATATGTTTCAATAATAATAAAGGAATTAGAGTTATGTTTTCTTTCGAAAATTTTAGTAACTTTAGTTTTAATGTAATGAAGGTTCGAACTAATTAGCTAAAAAGATTTGAGTTAGTCAAAATGTTGAAAACTCTTATACAACTTCTATGATAAATATGACATCAATGAAAATTTGGTTTCCTTCCCACTATTTAAAGCATTTTTACCTTAAATTCCTTCGCGTTCTTTAATGAATTTTAACTTGGCTTTAATCAATAATAGAAAAGAATATATAACTAAATTATCACTTTGTTTTAATAGCTTTGGATGGAAATAAATTTCAGAGTTCCTGAGAAATTTTTCAAAAAAAATCTCTTTTATATATTCTTTGCATATATTAGCACAAATGAACAAAATTATTTTATAAAATATGAATGCTATATTTTATATTTTCAATAATACATGTTAATAAATATAGTTTAAAATTAGTTACATTTTTTACAGTATAGTACAGTGAACATTCTCCTGGCGACCACCACTGAAGGTGACCAGTTAATTCTGGCAGCCACTTCCACAGAAGACCGAAATCATCTAAACAGTGATTCTGAAATTTACTATCTGCACAGACTCCTTCTTACAGCAAAAGCTCGAACTAAACCCCCCAGTGATACAACTCTATATACTGCATGGTAGAAAAATTACTAATTTACCTTTGTTGTGTTAAATGGTAAGTGGTGACGTAAAAACAAAACATAAATAAAACCTTTTTAAAGTAATATTTATTGAAATTATAACTTTTGCTTTAAAGTACGATTTTGTATTTTGTATTTTTTTTTTTTTTTTTTTTTTTTTTTTGTATTTTTTCCAATGAGATGGGTAAACCTGATGTTATGATAGATATTATTTATATATTTACGTTCGACTGTGTCCTTTTTTGTATTAATTATATTGAGCCACAAATCCGTAACAAGCTATACTGAATGTATAGCAAAACATGTCTTAATTTCCAAGAATTCCAACACTGAATCAAATAGCGCATAAAATTGATCCAAACATACACTTTTAGATAACCATAGAACTGCCTTGAGTAGTAAATGATTGAAATCTTTATTTTTTAAAAAACGCTGAACAAATAATCCTCTTATTTAAGGCACTGGATTTTATTTTATTTATTGCTGTAGTAACATAATCTAATGAGTCAGCAAGCGTTCACTAAGATTTTCGATGAATAACACAATCTACAGATAATGCATTTGATATAGGTTATTTTAAGTATGCAAGAGAGTTGTTTTATATAATTACGTCAAAGCCTCGTGTGCTATCTACCTAAGGGGAGGTATGCCTTCGTGGAGGGCTTTCTAAGGGAACCTATCTCGTATACACATTACACATGGGGAAAACAATGAAAACGCCCATGCAGCCAGCCCGTTCGCGGGATTCGGACCTCAGATCGAACTACCACTGTTCAGCGACTTTACCGCTCGGCCACTAGTGGGCCTGTCCTTTTAGTGGAACATTGTCAGTAGCAACGGATAGGATATTAACGCAAGGGTTATAGATTTAACATCCGATAGTCTTTTTAATTAAGTAAGTATAGTTTCACCTTTCGTATCAGTTTCCAAACATTTAACAAACAACAATTTTTGGGAAATTTGTTCCTCTCTTACAGATCTCACGTAAGCTAAAAACAAAGCTTTGTTTCCAGGCAAAATAGACTCTAAAGCTGAAGAGATAATTCAGATGTTATTAAGAACTCACACTTTTAATAGCAATATGTCCATTTAGACATATATGGAATATTTATGGAGCTCTTGGATTCTATGTTTTTAATTCTACACTTATTCACTCATCTACACTATTTTAAATCAAACTTGTTTGTTTGAAGCTAGCTGAATATTTAATACATTCGTTAAAAAACAAATAATACAATGTAAATGAGTGTATTGCATGCAGTATTATTTAAAAGTTTTCTTAAATATATGTCAAATGAACTTTGAAACGTGACACATTTTTTTCCAATGTAAAAGCTTTCATATTATCAGATGTTAAGAAATAAGCTGATATGAGCAAGAACTGGAAAATAAAATTCACATGCTATGGGCTAATCTATAGGACAAATCTAGAGACACAGAGCTTCTTTCTAAAGTTTTCTTGAGAAAATTGCCTTTCATCAAGAGCATTTATGTATTTTAGAAAAATAATTTAAATTTAAAAAAATAATAATTTTGTCTCCTTCGGTTTTTTTTCGTTAACGTTACAGCAGATAGTGCCAAAACTATTTTCATTAATAATTATTACGTCTGTGTAGGAACAGATACAAGATTATTCAATTCAAGAATGCAAGTATTCATAGAAGTTCCATTTAATTTTAACTATGGTAAATTTTAACATAGCAACGATATCTAACAAAATGCTGTTGGGAAAATGATGCTTTATTCTTAAAATTTTTCTCATATTTTATTTAACGTATAAGAAAGAATTTTTTAGTGGAAAATTAATTTTGTAAAACTTATGTAATTTAAAGATTTTTGTAGTGTTTAATAACAACTCAGATATATGAATATACTCGAAACATAAAGATGGAACTCTCGACAGCTTTGTCTCATATCCATATGTGAATAGACAAATTTAGGGAAATTCCGAAATTTCAAAATGTACTAAAAGTTATAAAGACATATTAATGTTTAGCATCGTAGCCTCGAAGACAATAGAAAGCTGCGTGCATCTCTAAGCTAAAGCAGTGTAGCCCGATATTCACATCCGCACATTCTTATAATTATTATAAATTCAGATTGGAACATAAATACAATATATATTCCCATTAACCTCCGAACTGAAGCAGTTTGAAGTTAATAATTAATCGAATATCTTCAGCATCAGGTACGCAAATGAGAAGAATAATTTCTTACGTAACAAAAAATATGACCTTGCTGTATCGAACAGTTAAAATGCAGGAAAATGAAATCAAAGGCCAAAAGATAATTTGCAGATTTATTAGTCTCAAAGGGGCTTTGTTCTTGAAGGACTATTGTTTCCGTTTTGCGATTTTGATTTGGTTCACTATAAATGTCCGTTTCACTTTTCAAAATGTTGCCACCCAATGTTAGAGTCCTGCATTATATTTGGAAAAATTAAATCATGAAAAATCTGCATAAATGTATGTATATTTCTGGCATTGTGATAAAACAACGATACATAGAGTTATCGGATTTTGAATGACGTAATCTTCCTACGAATATGGGCATGTGGAAGACCAAATTTAAAATTTGGAATTTGTTTTATTATCGATTTTACATTTTGTAATACTTTAACGAATTTTTGATTAACAAACTCAAGAATTTCAAAGCGAGCAAAGGCAACACTCTACGGGGAGAAAAAAAATTATCTCCAGCGCGCGGAACTGTGTATCGGAAATTCTAAAGATAGGCTCATTTTAAAATTATTTTGCGACATTGCTCTTGAACTGAATTTTATGGTTTAAGTGAGAAGAACGTGATATTTAATAAATAAAGATAACAGACAAAATGTTTAAAAAAAAAAAAAAAAAAAAAAAAAAAAAACGTGCGTGTGGACGTACGTAATTTAAAATCTGAAACCTTTCAGATTTTTTTTTTTTTTACATTTTTATCTGTTTTAACAAGTTTTGACTAAAGTCTTTAGAATAAGCAGTTACATTATGTCATTATACACCATAGATGCCTTCTCTTTCAAGCTGTGCTTTCCAGTACACCTTTACTGTTTCTTCAAAAACGCAATCGATGCCGAAAAGGACAACGATAAAAAAGATAGGAATATTAATTACATTTTTTCCAGTTCTGAATATGGAAGAAGATGAAAAAAATCAACCGTGGGAGTATTCATTCCCGGGTCGCTTGTATGGTTCGACCCACGTGCTGTTAACGCCCTCGAGTAGGCGCTGAGCCCTTGGATCTCCGGCGTCAACCTGACGCATAAACTTGCATGTTAGACAACCCTAAGAGAAATCGATGATTTTAATTCTTAATTACAAGCAACAAAATTCCTAAAACTTTAAGTCTGAAAACGATTTTGCTTGGCTTCTTGTAACAGCAAAAATTTAATTAAAACTTATTTTAATGGCTCAAATTCTATTCTATTGTTTATTAAGCCAAATTAATAAAATGAATCAGAAATTTATTAGTAACAAAAACTAATCATATGGAACTGCAATAAGAAGCCTGCTGCCTACATTAAAATGCACATAAATGTAAAATAAAAATGCTCATAATTACGTAATAATAGTAGTAGGAGCGGCTTAGTATATCAGAAGAGTGCTTGAAAGTGCAAAATACGACTCTAAAATGCAATAGCAAAACGACATTTAATAATAGAGGAAGTATATTATGAATGCAAATATAGTGATTGTATTGAGATACCCAGGTAGAAAAGCTGGGAATACTGCAATTTTGTGTTATGTAATGATTGTATTTTATTTATTTTTGTATTTCTGTATTTTATTGTCGTATTTATTCATTTGGTTTTCTTAATTTTATCTTCCAACAAATTATAAGGTGTTTTAATAAATGAATCGTAAAATTATTTATTAATCATATTTCTTTCGTCTTTTCCATTTTCAAGATATTTTTAATTTTTAAATTCCAGACTACATATTTTAATTATGCTATGAAGTCTTTATGGTTTTAGAAGCAGGAAATATGAAAAATATGCAGTGCCCCCGCCGGGACCTCTCGAATACGCGCCAAGTGTGCCACCGTCACACGAAGACATGCTGGAAGGAGGGAGAAAATACCTTACCCGTGATTCAATATAAAATGAAGATTCTCTAAAATAACAAATAGAATGCCGACAAAAATAGGTCAGATAAACAAACATATAAATAAAAACAAACTCACAGTCTGATTAAGCATCCGGATGCATAATAATGCATATACTGTATAATGCGCAATACACCTGAAAAAGGAGTATCAAAATGAAATCAAATTATCGAATGGCAATAATTCAGTAAAACTTGGAATTTAAAGGAACTATTTCTGTACACATTCTAACACTAAACTCGCATTTACTGTTATAACTTACCTTTTTCGAAAAATTGGAATCATTTTTTGGTCTCGTTGAACTTTCAAAAAATAAATTTTATTTCTAAATACATCGAAAAGGATTACCGTGTAGATTTGAAAATATGTATTAAGATGTTCTTCAAAAGTTTACACACTTATTCGTCTAAATGTTTCGAGGTGAATTTTAATGTAACTTACTTTTTTGTGTATTCTTATACTCATGGGGTGTCAAGAAATCTATTGAAGGAAAAAGAAAGCACTTTTCAATAATAAATTTTTAGGAACGTATTAATTTTGTTCTTTAAAATTACATCTGTGTAATATTTTATATTTGCGAAGCCTTATTAATTCTTAGAAAAGTTTTTTCAGGTTGACAGCCATGCCTGAAGAATAAACAATCGGAATGAAGTCTCGTAGGCATCAGATGAGTATTTTTCGACACAGATACAAGCACATGCCGCGGTTGTCGTCGGAATAGCAATTATAGATCTTGTGGTTCCATAGTGTTACGTAAAATACTCAAGAAGAAAATCACAATGCGAACAAAAGAACTCGGATAAAAAGAAACAAAAAATAAAAGCAAAGATAAGATTAAAAAAAAGAAGCGATTAAAAAAAAGAAAAGAAGAAAAAAGACCTTCGTGCCATTAAAAAAAAAAAATTAGTGCGCAGCGCTGCAGCGTTTGGCATCCCATCTTGACAGGCCGCCATTATCCTCTCCGTCTCCGATGTCGGATGATGTGACGTCATACACGATTCGGGTGCGTTCGGCATTCTTCGGTTACCATATATGGTCATGAAAATGCCGAAGCATCGCTAATGAGCTCGGAATTATTCATGAGCCTGAGACCTTGGATTTTTGGAAGCCCTTGGCAAAGCAGAGAGAGCGGCTGGTGTTATATGGACGCTTGCTACGATGCAAGGCGTACGAATGGTAAAAAATCATATCTGCATTCAATTTTTGTTCTGTGCATGATGCAGGAAAGTGCAGAAACGTGCAGAGTAAAAAGTGTATAGCACGAATGACGTATTGGCTGGATTATATTCCATTTTCCCTGTTTGCTGTTTTGCAGACGGTTTCAGGTAGTAACTATTTTTTAAACAAATTAATGTTTTTGATACGGAAAGTTGTAATTTTTTAACTCATCACTTTTATTAACCATATTGTTGTGCGTTATGTTATGCATTTTACAAAACGAAATTATTTTAATTACGAATATTTTAAAAAAGAGTTTCAAAATAATAAACCAGATCTGTTGCTCAAGAGGCTAAGACTGTCATCTGCAAATTATCCGTCCTGGTTCCGAGCCTCTCTTGTGTTGCAAAACTCATACTGAGCTTATGAAAACATTTGTGTAGATCTGACCTAACTGCAAAATTTATCTGAAAATTTTATACAAATATCTATTTGTTGATAATACGAAAATTAAGTTTTTCTTGTTATAAAAATAATCATGTTTACCTCAAGAGCTTCTGAGTCTTATCACTGCCAGAATTAAAGCATAAGATGTTTCAAATCATCTTTAGGAAAGAAATTTAGTGCAAAATTTATCTTATAAATTACTGAAGTGCCACTACCTACTTGTGCCAAATACCAGCTATGAACTGCTGTTTACTATTCCTGTTTTATCCTCAAATCTATCTTCGAAAGAATTTTTTCTTGTTTTAAATTTTATCCAGCGAAATTTTAAACAAGTGTTTATTGGTTGATCTTAGTGAATGGTATTGTGAGAAAAATTTCAGGACTAGAAATTACATGTATTGACTTCTCTGTGTTCGATTTAAAAATCTTTAAATTTTGGAGGTCTTGTCAATTTCTGAATACATGCTATATGAATAAAGAGACTTTTATTAGCGTATCATTGATGCACTGATAATAAACTCTTCTGATGCACATAAAAATACAAAAAAAAGTTCCTGGTTGATTAATAAATGTATTATGATATTTTTTATTTCTTATATTTTAATAAGATTTTAATTTTGTCTGAAAATTTCTGAACAAGTAACAGTACTTAACAGTAATAAATATTGTTAAATAATAATATTATTAAATATATAGTTTTATTAAATATTTAATTGTGAAAAACCAAATTTATTTTCCTTACGTTAAGAAGAAAACAAAAGAAAAGCTTTATGTACTGAACTCCATAATATAAATAATTCGATATACCAAGGTTTCGCTTATGACACTTGCCGAGTAACCGGCGGAGCAGGTTATATACTATGAGTCAGATGTGAAGGAATAGAAACTGGAATATGTAAACAAATCTGTGGAAACATGCTCTCGTTTTCAAAATAGACCTGCCTCATACAGAATGAAACCACGAAATTCTGAGGTGGTTAAAAAAAAGGAAGGTATACTGTATAATAATAGAAAAGTCGCATCTTCCAAAAAATAAAACAAAACAAAAAACATCGCAGAAGATTGAATGAACGCAAGCATCGCTGACGTAACGAATGACGTCAAGAGCCGCATAACCCTCTGATTGGACAGCGACCAGGTTCCGGCTCTCCAAATATGGAAGTGCTCACGGAAGCGGCCTTCATTCAGTAACGGCGACGTATAAAGAGTACAGGTTGAATGAGCTTACGCGCATTTTGACGTCGTGCGCTGGACTTGACGGTTCAGAAACGCCATGTTTCAACCTCGCTTTCGATAGCACGAAACCGACTGTCAATCCCTGACTTGTCAAGAGGGTTGTTTACACTGTCAGTGTTGACGTGTGACAGCAATTTATAAACATAAACAAGAACTGACCAGGAACAGTGTCCGACCCCCAGGAAACAGTGACTCCGGACTTGGGAAACCAGGGGTCCAGTATGATTATGGACACTCTTGGTGTGCTGACAGGGGCCCCCTTAGACACAGGGCCCCATCAACCGTTCAGCCTTAGCTTCGACACCTTCAAGCTGATCGGGGGAGATATGGAAACCCCTGATCCATCCGCGTCGAAATCCTCACCACATCACCACTACCCCACTGTTGACATTCGCCTCGTGAACCCGACTGCGCGCGTCAAAAAAGAGAACGAAGAGGAAGAAGGGATGGAGGACGATACTCTCAATACGCCGGTTTCCACGAGTGCTGATGTCAGTACATTCTTCTGTACGGATACCACCATCTCGGACCCTGTTCCCATCACAGGTAAGAAACCCTTTTCATGATTTTCTGCCATGTAGTTAAGCGAAGTGTGGTTCTGTGACCTTTTACGGCGGATCATCTGCCCCATGACTGTTTGACATTTCGAGATTTTCTGAATGGCCGTAGTCGCCGTGCTTTTAATTTGTTTTTCACTCCGCCTAAGAACTTTTTACGATATTCAATGAACATAACATTTCTTTCTTTATTTATGTATTTACTCCTTTCTTAATTTATAAAAAAATTAATTAGCTAATTCAGTCTTTTAAGCATGTGCTTGCGATTGGGTATTTAACTGACATTTTGGTTTGATTTAATTCTAGACAATATTATCACATGAACATTTAGTTATTTCCCTTAGTTTGTTGCTAAAATAGCTTAATTGAACAGTAAGTCGTATTATATTATTATGATTATATTATTTATCTTTGATTTTCTTTAGTAAAAGAGCTCTTGTTTAAAACTAATACTTCTTTAGTATTTCTATCAAGTGAGACCAGATTTTAGAAAACCACGTTTTCTATTTGAAGTGATGACTTTTACTGTTTAATTTTGTTTGCATTTTATTAAATTTATTATGGTTTTTTTAATTAAAAAAACCTTAGATCCATTTGTTCATTTGGTAATGAGATTTGTTTGTATTATCTTGTATTTCTTTAATTTTTCACATATTAATTTAATTTAATCTTTTCTTATGATGCTTATGTTAGATAGCATTCATATAATTTTATTTTCACACAAGTTATTCGCGTTTAAGTTTCATCAATACTACATTAAATGTTCTTAAGATGTTAATTATTTTATATGGTTCTTTTCTTACATAACTCAATCAAGTGATCATATTAAACCATATATATTCATTGTATATCTTATATATTATGTTAATTAGCTAATTTCAGATGAAAAAATTTATCATTGTATCATCTAAACTATGTTATTTAATAATATTTTGTTAGCATTATAGATCAATAGTGTATTGATGTTGTTATACCTTACTTGACTATGATCATGCTATGAAAGTGTTATTTGAAATTTATATAATATTATTTTTTTTCAATTTATAAACAAGCATTATTAGCTAGGGATATGTAGCAATGTTAAAATTATTAATGTTATATTTATTTTACCGTCTTCCAAAAACACAATACTACGAGTTATTATTACTATCAGTAAAATTTTAAAGCTAACACATTTTAACAAATTTATATAGCTTTTTGAAAATATTATTGGTTTTTATCTTACATTTAATGATATATTTAATTATTAAATTCCAGAAGAGAATGTAACTGATTATTATAGGCAGAGCAGAGGTATTTATTTTAACATCCGTATGTCAGAAGAGTAATAATAATTTGACAGTGTTAATTATTACGCAATATAATGAAGTAAACCACTTTACTCAAAATGCTTTATTTTTGATAATATAATGTACATTAATATAGTCTCTGCGACAATTTTATTGAGTTATCATTTTAAGTTTAAATATTTATTTTGTTTATTTATTTCTTGTATATGACGTGTCTTTTTGTTCTTTTTACTCGTATTATTTGTATTGCTGCTGTGGTTGTAGTAGTTCTATTATTTCCTGACATTGATTTTGCTCTTAAACTGAAGCAGAAAAAAAGCTATCTATGCATGGAATTAAACTCTGAAAAATCGATTGCAAGAGACATTAATATTTAACATAACATAGTTTCATTCTCCTAAAAGAACAATAGAAAAAAACAGAACATTATCAAATAAATACCGTTATCAGAAATGAGAGAGATCTGTGTATAAAATAACATTTTCTTCACATTTGGTAATTATTTATTTATAAAAGCTTAAATTTATCTAATTTTTAAGAATTAAAGAAATTTACTTCTGCCACATTTTTATGAATTTTAAATTCGATTTTTGTCTTTTGTTACAACTGATTGCTTATGCTGCATACTTACCATAATTATATTTTACTTCAAAATTATTTTTTAAGAAATCATATTTCATAAAGTAACCAACTGGCAGCAATTGATTTAATAATAATAATAATAATGTTACGGCTTCTGTTTAAATACATTATTTAACAAGTAATTCCTAGTAATTTTGGTCATTGTTATTAAATTATGCGTATATTTAGACCTTTGATTACCTTTTAATTATTGTAATTTATTATAGAAAACTGATGTTGCTTTAATTGATCTGCTACATTATATTATATATGAATATTTTTAGTTAAGACCGTGAGGTTTATTTTTGGTTAGTAAGACCTTCCGAATTTAATTTGGCTCTTGTTTAGAATTGAGTTTTACTGTAATGACATGATTTGGTGATTCTCAACTTTTCTGCCCTATGCAGCCCTTAAGCCATTGCCAGATTATTCTTTCCTCTCTTTACCAAAACTAGAAAAAATTATTTAAAGATTATTTTTAATGTACTTTATAAATTAAACAAGAAAACGGATTAAAAATGTTGATAAACACTTAAACTTGATTAAAAGTAGTTTTTTCACATTCATAAATTAAGTGCTAAATAGATAAATAAAAGGCCGACCACATTCTTCCCCTGAAACTATGAAATTCCCCCCTGGTTAAGACCCTTGTGATAGACAGACTATCTTCGTACTAGTTCGAAACAGCAGTACTCTTCTCTTCCCTTTTATTGTATAAAACATTAGATCATAACCTATGACCCGCGAGTCACCGAATGATTCGTTCCATAATTTCAAGTGACCCACTTGAAATCACTTGAAATCTAAAAATAAAGTACAATATATTAAAATAAGTTATAAAACATAAATATGAAACAATCGCTTGAAGAATACATAAAGAAATAAACCGAAAATAAATAATAACAGTAATATTTTTGTTTGATTACAAAGTTGTTGTAACGAGCATGCATTTTTTTTAAAATTGTAACATGATTTCAATGAGAAATCGAAAAATTTGGCAACACCAATCCGTAATTCCAAAAAGTTGGCTTTGCCATTTTGTTCACATTCGGTTCAACTTACAAATGCGAGCAATTATTTTTACCCATCAAATTTATTTTAAGTGAGATCTGAAGGAGCCTAACTACCGAAACTTCAGATGCTTGTCTTAAGACGACTATTTGTAACCTAGACTTGACTAGATCGACGTCACAAGTTAATCATCAGGGAAACCACTATTATCGAAGAAAATGAAGTTCATTCGATTATGTTTATTTTTTATAATAATTGAAATATAATTTAAAGTTTTATGTTTCAATCTTAAAGCGTATTGTAATTATTTTCTCAATAAAATTTATCTTATTATTCACTAAGAAAGACTGTTCTAAAATGAAAATACAACCGACTCGAAACGTCTTAATACACACATTTTGGCTGATTTTGAGCCACAGCCTAGAGCCTGCATTAGATTATGTGTCGAGGTTTTATAAAAAGGCGTTAACATATGATCTGAAATCGATATACATGTAGAGATGTAGAAGACGTATCACGAAACAGTAAAGCCTTAATATGGACAATATTGACAGCTATGATTAAAATTGTATACTGGATTTTCTATTTTATAATTATCTTTCTGTCGTATATAGATGTAAAAAAATCTGAGAATAACTGACTTTAAGTTAAAAAGCAAATATTTAAAATTAAAATAGAGTATGTGATAACATTTTTGGTTATAAAATCTCAATTAATAACGCTTCCTACTCTAATGCGAAAAAATGGTATCAGAAAGCTCCTATGTGCACTATGCAACATAATTTATAATAATATAATTATTCATTCTTTCTCATCCAATTCTTTTTCTCATTCATTCATTCTCATTGATTCATCTCATTCATTCTTTTTCAGCCAATAAAATATGTTACGAACTGTAACGTAAAAATTAAGACAACACGGTTATCGATCGGCAATTCAGTACCACCTTTGACATTCGAGTTGTTCTTTAAGAATATTTTTTTCGTTCGCTCCTTATAATATTTACCGTTTGACCTTGACCTTCATAAGAAAAGGCAAATATTAACGTAAAATAAATATATTCACTTAGTAAAATAGAAACATAATATTATAAAGTGGATTTCCCTTTATTGGATTATTATTTTATGACACATAATTAATATTCTTATCTAGTAAAATGAAAATATAGCATTATAAAATGAATTTGTATTTAATTAAATCATTGCAAAATCTATACTAGGGTTATCTGACCAACGAGAAAGGGGCCGTCATGGAAGACTTTCTAAGGAAAAATTAACTCGTATTCACGTTACACATAAGGAAAATTAACCGCACATGCATCCCGTTCGCAAGAATTTAAATGCATACCGAATTACCAATATTGAGTGGTTTTTTTCACTTGACCACTAGTGAGCCCTATTGTAAAATGTTTGTATACTATAAATTTCAGTCATTTTATTTTGTAGACGCCAAATTGGCTGGAACATAATTGTTTATACTCTACAAATTTAGCTTGTAAAAAACTCCTTTACTGCAATCACCTTTGTCTTATGTAGTATGTACACGAAAACTAAAATAACATCGGCTTTCTAAAATGATCACTTCCAAAAAAGACCGTCTAAAACCGTAGAGGAACGTATGTTAACCTGAACTTGCTCTTAACATGAACTCGCTTAAGGCGAACGCTCGGTTATCAGACAACGATGTTATATCATCTTATAGGAAGTTTTACCAGTGAACGCAAATTTCGGCTAGTACGAATTGTGATATTGAATTGTTTAACGCAAATGTTGGCTAGTACGAATTGTGATATTGAATTGTTTAACGCAAATGTTGGCTAGTACGAATTGTGATATTGAATTGTTTAACGCAAATGTTGGCTAGTACGAATTGTGATATTGAATTGTTTAACGCAAATTTCGGCTAGTACGAATTGTGATATTGAATTGTTTAACGCAAATGTTGGCTAGTACGAATTGTGATATTGAATTGTTTAACGCAAATGTTGGCTAGTACGAATTGTGATATTGAATTGTTTAACGCAAATTTCGGCTAGTACGAATTGTGATATTGAATTGTTTAACGCAAA